GAGACAATTCTTGTTTGATTCTACATAATTATGACAGCGAATAAAAGGTGATAATTATTTCCAACTAGATATGGTTATACGAGAGGCTTAGAAACAAAAATTACGCAGGATTAGAACGGATATCAAGTGTGTAAAAATGAGCATGGATACAAAATTGAAATAATAATTTTCAACTTGAGATGGGAATCAGGAGGTGCGAATATAGATTACAAGAGCCTTAGAAACAAAATTACATGGAATTTAGCAAATTACAGGTGTGCAGAAAGTGAGCATGGAAACAAAATTGATACAATAGTTTTAACTTAAAATGGAAGTTAGGAGGTGTGAATATAGATTACAAGAGCCTTAGAAACACAAAATAATTGCACAGGATTAAGATATAATTGCAAATTTTTTAAAACGGATTATAAATGCGAACAGGAAAAGCATGGAAACAAACTTAAAATAAATGTTTTTATAACTGGAAAAAAAGTGGGGTGAATCGAATGAAGACTGAGGGAGTAAGAATCACACACATAGCGAACGAAAAGGGATCAAAAAAAAAAAACAAAAACAGAAACAAAAATGGAAGCTACGGTAACATACCGAACTAAGTCCATGGTAGTTGTAGAGGTTGAACTAATTTCTTTTGGACACACAGCTCCGGCTTCTCGATGCATATTGCGAGGGCTTCTGCAGTACAGAGAAGTCGGAAACAAACTGCTTTCGGTAGGTTTCTGTTGACCTTGTAAATTACTTTGAATGAATCAGTTGAGATGTTGTGGGAGGTATTGATCAGATGCTCAATAATGGCACTTCTGATTGAACCGGTGCCTCCTCTTTAAAGCCACGCTGGGTAGTGTTCTCTAACACGTTTTGAAAAGACTCGCATACAACGACCTATGTACCTTGCTCCGCACGAGCAGGTGAACTGGTAAATGCACATTGAATTGGCCATATGCGACAGCTTGTCCTTCCCATTGCTCCGAAGAAGTGGGCGGCTAGAGAATGTCACTCTTAGAGTTGCTGCCGGAAAAGTCTTCTTCAGGGATTTGGAGATTCTCCTTTTAAGGATATCTGCTGCCAGGTCTCCCCTGAATTCCAGATTCAGATAGAGTGTCTTCTTTTGCACTGAAATGTATTCTTCTCTTTTTGGCCTTGGTTTCATGTTCTTCTCCACGAAACGTGGCGGGTATCCGTTTTACACTATATCATCGTTATTATTTTACAATCATTCTTACTGTCGTTATTTTCAACCTTGAAATTATGTCTAGTCCGCCCCATTCGTTGGTTTATTTTCATATTGTCTCACACACACTGATTACACACACTCTCGAAACCTGTATTTTCTGTTCACTCTATTTATATGTATACACACACATCATTAAATTAAATTACTTCATCTGATTTTTTCCCATGTTCTCATTGACCATGCATATTAAAAAAGCTATCTGACTATTGTTCCATCCCATCTTATACTTGTTCCACAATACACTTTCTGATATGATTCTAATTTGCCTTTACTGGCTATTGTATGCTTAAATTAATGGATTTATAATTGTAGAGCCTGGAGAAGAATTTATTGAAAACAATTGTTCGCTCTAAATATTTTACCTGGCGCCGGGTTCAGGGTGATCAAGAATGCTCTGACCCCGGGTGGAGGCTCACCATTGCACCTCGGTGGGTTGAAACTCGCGACGGACCCTAATCGGGTGCGCTCAGGCGTGTAGTTTTTGTCAGTGGGGAGGCCTCACGGTCCTCCCTTTAAATTGTGCGTCGGTGGCACAGTGGTTAGGACTCTCGCCGACCATGCACATGGTCCGAGGTTCGATCCCCCGCCGGCGCACACCCGATATCTATGGTCGGCCTGAATTTGGGCTACCGATATCCATGCTGAAAATTCCATTCTTGTACTGAAAATACGGTGTGGAATCAAGCTGTAAATCAATTAAAAAAATAATAAATAAATTATATATATATATATATATATATATATATATATATATAGCATTTCATCGCATGTTTGCTTATTTCCTTTTCCAATTTTTGTCAAGGAGTTTAGTTATGTGAACTGATACGTTTCACTTCGAGATTCGACTCTTATTTTTTTTAATCTACACGGGACCTAACTTCAGTACTTAGGAATTATCGGTACATGAGTAGCCAGCATTACCGGGCTAATGACAGCGAAGATAATTCTACACATCGTAACTTATCCTTTTGTGGGTCTGGAATGCGTCTGAAAATACTTCCTCTTGGTGCTGTGGTTGAATGTTCTACGATCATGTGCACCAAAACATTTAGCTTGGGTTATAAGATTCACTTCATGTGAAATTTAGATTTGGGTACTGTGCGAAATACTCAGTCTGTTTTCAGTAGCATCATGCTGATCAAGACACTCTACTCGAACTCATGCAGCTAGATAATAACCTACGGAGAGTTGTCATCTGAAATGATGAAAACCAGTGGTGTCCGTCTAGGATACCCACTGTCCCCCTTTCTGTTTAATTTCATCATAGATGTACTAATGGAATTGACTCTAACTGACTTCAGCAATTCATGAATTGACTTGTTACCATTAGGAAATAATAGTCTCATTGACTTAGAATATACAGATGGTATAGTCCTGCTCCTAGGTGAAGACGCTGACAAATGCGGAGTTTTTCACACAGCCGGTTCCTTTATTAGTTTGAATAAGGAAAGAATAAACATATTTGCAGAATAATGCGAGCTCGTTTTATTCCATGGATTCTCTCAACTGCGTACATCCTAAATAATTCAATCACAAGTCACAAAATTTCTGAGCATTCTTTATACAATGACTTCAGGCTATAGATAGAAAGTATAGGCAATATAATTTCAAAGATGATGTAAGTAAACAATTATTTAGTGTTAAAAGAGTAACTATTTATATAGTAATTAAACAAATGGGTGTAGTTCTGATTTCTCTTGGACACAAAGATGGACTAAAGACAGAATACAAGATAGAACAACAGAGTTAATTTATACATATTATGGTGGGGGATTCAGGAGAATGGGTGTGAATAGTGAAGTAAAATTATAAAAGTGGATAGTATAATTTAATTTAGTAGATTCGAAACCTTAACAGTGGGTTCAACTTATTGAGTGAAAATCAAAATTGAGTAGAATCTTATGCAACAGAACAAAACACAAAAGCGCACGAACAATACAGCTGCGGTTACAAAGGTAGTGAGAGATTAGTCACACTCTCTTTCTATATACATTGGTTGGGCCAAAATCTTTTGATGGCAATGGCTTCTGAGACTATATCACTCTGCCTATACTTTGTATCTATGACTTGAAGTCATTGTATAAAGTATGTTCAGAAATTTTGTAACTTATAATTTATTTATTTGGGGTGTACGCAGCTGAAGAGAATCCGAAAAGTAAAACAAGTTCGCATTATCCCGCAAATATCTTCGTTCTTTCTTTATTCAAAATGTAGGGTCTTCTGAACACCTTGGTAGGCAACAATCTGTTTGGCAGGCGGTTCGCTCCTGTCAAATATAAGATGATACTACAGGACTGGACTACGTCGATTCATTCCTAGCTCAGAGATAGGGATTGAAATGGTGGCTGAGCGTGTTGACCACTTCATTTATTTGGGAAGTTGTGTCAGTTGAATCGGCCTCAGTGGGTTGATCGCTGACGAAATCTCAGCACGGATACATAAGGCTTGTTAGGCATGTGCCCGCCAACTCACACCATCTCTGGTTTAGATGTGATATCCGCTAGCTATCGACTAAAGGGCGTTTGTACTGCTCTGCAGTCGGCTCTGTCCTCCTTTATGGGTGTGAGCGAGACGTGACCATTGTAAAAGGGCGGGGGGGGGAGAAGATATCAAATAATATTATAATTATTATTATTCACTTGGGTTCCCAGCGGAACATAGGGCTTCAACAATACATCTCCACATGAAAAGCCAGTTGTTAATACTGCATCACTGTGTGATTAGTAAAATAAACATATCTGATATGGAATTACATTCTACAACAGTGCCCATGTTCTACACTTACATTAATGAAAAGTCTGGCTAGCTGTCTTTGATCATAGGTATCTGCGTTCTATCTCCCGTATTCGGTGGTATAATGAAGTGAATAATATTAAGGTCATTCGTCGAGAGTTAGACAAGGAGGGTAATTCAATCGTTGAGGTTGTGAAGCCACATTGACTGAGATGACTAGTGCACGTGCTACACATGACAAGCCATCGCCTTCCTCTACAACGGGCAATGTTAGCTGACATAGGATGGATTAGGTTGGAAATGAGGTAGTGGTGGTCAAACGAAAACAGGGCCTCATCAGTCAATGAAATCCGTAACAGTTATTTTAAGCCAGTCATGTTGGGAAGTGTAGACTTCCTCAGTGGTTGTTGTTATTGGGATGGTAAGAGCCAATGGCTGGAGACAATTAGTGATGTGTCTCTAAAATCTTTCTTGATGGATGGCGTAGATGCAATAACGTTTTGCGATTTGTCATATCCAATAAAATTTTGTTGTTCTTTCCTGTAACTTTTCTTTCCCCATGACGCTTTTGTTTATCTCTCTTTTGAATCTTTCTTCTCTTCTATGCTTGCTACATGGAGTATGGCAACTCGATCTAATGCACATCTGTGCAATGTTCTTTTTTGAAACCAGTTAGTTAGTATTTATTCCTTGGTGATCCTTTCCATTTTTATGAAATCTCCTAGCGTTATGAGGTTGTGATGGTTTGTACCCAACCTTAATTATTTTCCGCTTCCATCTACCTGCCTCTTTCTTCTGCACACAAATCTGACATTGGGTTTTGCTATTTTCTCTATTTCTTAGTGGGTCCCATTGAGGTTTCTCCCTTATCCAAGGAATGTATTGTGGTTATAAAGTGGAAATGTGATTTTATATTCCTCCAAAAGCGGTGTAGTTAACTTCGGTTGTGTACGTTTTGTTGTCATTTTATGTTTTTATCACTTTCTATTAGATTAATGTATAACATTGTTGAGGACTGGAGCATTCTGTAGTTTATTTTGAATTCATCGATTCACACATATCTCTCAGTGGAAATTAGTTGAATTGGACACATCTCGTCAGTATAAACTGTATTTATGATGATATTTTGTTCCCGTTCTTATTCATTCCCTAATATTTTGCCTATCTATCCCCACTTGTTTTATTTTTCTGTTTAGGATAACATGATAAAACCCGAAGTAATGTTATTTGAAGAATGCCATTCAAACATACTTCGTGACAGAAGTTTCCAGAAACATTCTTATAATAACAAACACGACAGTGAAGATGGTAAACTTGCTCACTCATCTTTTGAAGAATGCAAAAATGTAAAGATATGTGATGATATTACACAGACAGTGCATATTCCATGTGATAATGTTCTGTGTAATCTTTCAGGTGTAGAAAGTGCAACCACTGAGGTGATTTCATTTTTTGCAACTTAAATTGTGTTGATGTAGAAGTAGTTGTATAGTTTTCATGTGTGTATATTTTGAAAAGCGTCTTCAGGGCAACATGTTGTATATTATGTGATTATTTGGATGGACTAAAATTTCGTATATGACAAAATGAAAACTAGAAGGTACGTCTATCAATCGGAACAGCTCATTTTCAGATTTTGGAAAGGATACAAATTCCCTTTGTTTCTCGTTCATTGTATGACTAGTTGTAATGGAAACTTTGAGGTTGCTAGTAAACGACTTACGAATACAGACAAAAGACGTATCAGTTGTACCTCTAATACATCCAATGAAGGTTTGTGTCGTCCACCTCATATTCAAGGTCTTTTAAAGTTCTAGGTGAAAATGCGTCCCATATGAAACAGGAGTCAGGTGTCTCACTGTTCAATCGGAATGACTCAGGTCTCATCACACATCAAGCGAAGTCGTCATTGCAAGTGATAAAGAATGAGAATGTTGGTAGATAAGATTATGCAATAAATTATGCTGGTTCCAAAGGATCATCGAAGAATGAAAGTCCGATATTTCTTTAGATTTGTACTGTTTATATCTTCAAAAAATGTGCAGAGATGTTCCTTTGAAATACTGTTGACGTGTTCTTGTCTTTTGAGTAATGAGAAAATGAAAAATAATGTCATAATGTACGATCAAAATGATTGCTATGCTGTAAAAATTGTTGATTTTGGGATCTATCTAAACAGTCACTGACCATAGCTGATTTCTAATTCTCTAGAAAGTAATCACCTCTTCTTCAAATACCGGAGAAGAGAAAACCAAAGCCTTTTTGCGGAAATTGCTTAGTTCTTTATTTGTGTGTATGGAAAGCAGTATGAATAAGTGATCAGTGAAGTTAACATTTAGCTACTACAATGTCCTCAACGGGCTAACTTAAATAAAAAAGCCAGATTTTTATTCTACTTTAAAAAGGTTGTAGAGATAGAGCTGAATTTTTAGATTTTTTGAGTAAAATCGGCATTACGATCGGTAGTGATTTGAAGAAATTCAGCATACCTCTGTATGCATAATTGACAAAATTGAGCCGTTATATATTATTGACTACATACCTATACACCGAGTTGATGTCGGTCAGTGGTGCCCGGTTTTATAATGTTTTCGCAACTCTATTTGTGATCCTGTATTTCTTAGCTACCAAAGCTTTTCTGACCCACTTGTTTTCCTTATTTAGCTATAAGTATCTTGTTTTTACTTTATTTGCAGTGTTTTGTGTGTCAGAATATCTGCCACTAACTAATAAACGATCTCTTTAATTCTTTGTATTTTTATTTATTAATAGAGTGACCAGAATTCGGATATCGCCACTGACCATCTATCTTTAACGCCATTTTTTGATCTTACTCCGAATTCATTGGATAGGGAGATTTCTATGAGAGTGAGAGTGAGTGTCTGCAAATTGCAGGAAGCACAGATTGATGAATTCGAAACAGTTAAAAATTGTTCGCTAACAACTGATTCAGCTTTTCAAAATGAGCCATACAGAGAATCGACAAAATCAATCGCAACATCCAATAAACAATCCTCAAAGAATCTCTCCAACTCTGATTCTACAGAAAGCGTTTGTAGTAAACGTAAAGTAAGTAGAAAGAGGAGGCCTTGTTCTTACAGTGGAACAGAGGAACTTGTTGAGGAAGAAGCAGTTGGAAATATCCCGCGGAAATCGGAAACCACGAAAAGGATTAGTTCCCCTGTTAAATCTTTACGAAGATCAAGTCGCTTGAGTGGCCTGCGTAAAAGGGAATTGGAAATTCATGTAAAAGTGGACGCTATCCCTGAAGAAAGTTGTAATTCTACTGTAGCTGATACTGACGCTAAAAGATATTTAGGAAATGTAAATAAACGAAGGGGTAGAAATGGAACAGCTACTGCAGATTCATCGGAAAGTGAAGATAAAGTTCTCGAAGTATCAGGTAATTTGTCTGATACCTCTTCGAAAACAAATACCGATGTGGTAAGTCTCCTGTTCTCTTTTTCATACGACTCAGTATATTCTGAGTAGCATGTTTTGTCGGCTAAATAATGAATTCCGCTTATTTTAAGGGCTAAAATCTAAAATTACAACCATTTTTTCCTTCAGTCTGTATGATTACCATGATTATTTGATACTGTACATCAACAAGTTACCTATTAGTTACACTGCAGTGATGGGAGTTTATTAACTTAATAATAATTGTGCCTACTTCAGAATATTCTGTCATTCTTCATGATTTACTTCCCGATCGCCTGCACCATAGAAGTTGATATCTTTTCTTTGTATGTGAAAATGGGATTGAGTTGATTTTGTATTGAATGTTGTCTGCAGCTCTTTTAACTAACAACGGCTACATTGAAATCGAATCCTTTTTCGAGCACTTTGATTTCATTACAGCTTGATTCAGATAATTGTGAATCATTGGTTTAGGCAATTAATTTTCAGATAAGTAATAGTGGCTAGTTTAAACGTATTACTTATATTTTCGCCTCATCCTTTAGTCAGAATTCCATAGTCTCATGTCTGCTGTCACTTCTTGACGAAACTGATATTGCCCTTATTATTCTCATATCTTCCTTGTTTATTCTATTATCTTTGTATTTCTATTGATTTGCCTTTTATAGACGAACTCTTACATCGTGTTCTCTGTCGTTACGCTATTCATGTAGTTGTTGATGTTCATTGTAGGACGCTTGTTGAGAGAGTAATAAGTTATGTGATAAACTGTTTTATTTAGGGTTTATCATTATAAAGTAGTATGAAAGGTTCTTGATAAGGGTTAGACAAATTTTTGTCTCGCATTTTTTCACGTATTACTTGTGTTCCAAACTTCATCTGCTAAATAGAACAGTTTCATTTTGATATATTTATATATATTCAAAGAGATACACCATTATTGGTATATAAACTTTGATTGGACACACATCTTTCATTTGCTCCCGTCAGCTGTAAGATGATGGTACAGGACTGAACTACATTGACTCCTAGTTTAAAAATAGGGGGTGAAGTGGTGGCTGAGTGTGTTAACCACTTCACTTACTTGGGGAGCTGCACCAGCCCTAATGGGTTGGTCGCCGATGAAATCTCAGCATGGATACAGAAAGCGAGTTTCGCATATGCCGGTTACGCCGTCTCTGGCGTAGACGTGATATCCGAATAGCTATCGACCAAAGGACGTGTGTACTGCTCAGCAGTCCGCTCCGTCCTCCTTTATGGCTGTGAACGAGACATGGCCATTATAAGTCGAAGACATGAAAAGCCTGGTTAGCTATATTTAATCATAGGTGTCTGCGCTCTATCTCCCGTGTAATATGGCATAATAGGGTGAGCAATATCGAGGTTAGACTTCGGTCGGGTGCTAGGTAAGGAGTGGAAATCAATCGACGAGGCTATGAAGTTACATCTAGTGAGATGGTTAGGAAATGTGTTACATATGCCTAGCCATCGCCTTCCTCAACAACGGGCAATGTTAGCTGACATAGGATGGATTAGGTTGGAAATGAGCTAGTGGTGGTCAAACGAAAACAGGGCCTCATCAGTCAATGAAATCCGTAACAGTTATTTTAAGCCAGCCATTTTGGGAAGTGTATACTTCCTCAGTGGTTGTTGTTATTGGGATGGTAAGAACCAATGGCTGGAACAATTGGTGATATGGCTCAAAATCGTTCTCAATGACGCAGACGCATCCACTCCTTGTGACTTATAATACCCAATAAAACTATGTGGTTCTTCGATATTACTATTCTTTTTGCCTCATATCTCTGTTTACTATTTCTATTTTGTGTTTCTCTTAACTTTCTTCTCTGGCTTTGTGTGATTAGTGAAGTGTGGCGACTTGGACTGCTACACACTGGCGCAAAGTTCTATCTTGAAACCAGACAGATTGGACACTAACTAGTGTCGTGTGTCTAGTCCTTTGTTTACTACAGACTGAATTTTATCCGTCAAGTTTCCACTGTGGCCACCATGCTAGGCTTCTCTCCATCTAAGTGCACTGAGAATTCTTATTATTAGTTGGTCGGAAGCAATCGGTCTATACAGGTTCTACTAACGTCTCTGACTGCAGCACTGGGTGACATGTTCTAATCTCAGAAGAGACAGACACACCCTTCTGACGAGTGCCAACAAGCACGAAACCTGTCGGTTGCCTCCAAACATCATGTATATACATAAACATATATATAAGGAGACCAAAATAGTAGAAATATAAGTTAAGAAGTGTTATGTTTTTGCACATGAATTACTCTTCAGTAGATTCAAAGTAATTTTCTCTCAGTGTTTAGTCTGTTTAGTCTGAGTTGTTCCTTTCTATTTTTATAAAATCACCAAGTGTATTGACAGTTTACTAGATAACATTTTCATCTTTATTTTTCATGTAGACCAAATGTGTTTATCTGCTCTTCAGTGGTATTGAGTCATCCGTGTATACAAGTACCTTGAAGAAGTTAGGCGCGTGCGAAACAAGCGATGCTACGCTTGCTGACTATGTCATTACGGACGAGATAAGGCGTACATTAAAGATATTGTATTCAAGAGCACGTGGTATACCCGTCATCTCAGTGGATTGGTTAAAGGCATGCAAGAAATGTCGTAAAGGTTCCAATCCAGGTATGTTTATGAAAGAGTAATTTTTTCTTGTTGAATGAAGTATTTGTGTTGACGAGGTCGTTTGAATTGGGTAATGGGACATTCAATGATGTTACTTTTTCAACCCCAGAATCGGGTGCCTGACCAGCTGTAGTACTATACAAAAAAATTTGAAGTACTGATTAGCTGTCACTAACGTTTATAACCAAAGTGTCTCATGGTTTATTGACGATAGGTTAAAATGGCATTTGTTTTATGCATGGCTTTCAATCATATCATATACGAAGACAGAATCGTGTATTTTTAATTTTTTGAATGCTACTATGCGAGACCGTCTACTGGATTTTCGTTGCCAGATATCCTTCTTTCAGTGTATTCTTTTAAAGTAATCTATTTTTCTCTTGTGTGTGTAAGTGCTAATCTTGAAAGTGACGTGGAACTTAGTTGAAAAGAGTGAATCTTCCCCTGACATCTCCTCTTTTATACAACTTTATGAGAATTTCTAAGTTTCTTAAACATTGCAAGGACCCGGTCACTGTGAGTGAGCTGAACAGTTTTAAGCCTTACTTCGTCAAGCTTGCAGTAGCAAAGATGAAGATACGATTTTTGAGAGAATGTTTAGATCGACATGAATATCCAAAAATGCGCTGAAAATCACTCAAGCAGCACACACTGCACCACATTGACATAGGTTCTCCAGTGCACCGACGAGCAACAAAAACAGGATTTGAACGCAAGCTACAAAACACTGAACAAAAGAGTAAAGAAGAGTGCCAGGGAAGACAAAAGAAAGTATTATGAAGCCATGGCAAGTAAAGCAGAACAAGCTGCAGGCAAAGGAGACCTCGCAACACTCTACCAAACAACTAGGTACCTATGGGGCAAAAGTTTGACATAAATTAAGCCGGTGAAGGATGACAATGGAAAGTCACTCACCAAAGAACTGGAGAAAAGGAAACACTGGGCTGAACACTTCAAAAGACTCCTAAATCGACCACCACCTACAACGCGCCCAACAATACCAACGACGGAGACAGAGCTACCAGTGAACACCAACCCCCCGACGAAATCAGAAGTCCTGAAGGCAATCAAGATGCTAAAAGCTGGAAAAGCAGCAGGACCAGATGGAATCCTAGCAGAAGCATTGAAAATGGACCCAGAGACAACAGCGGACTTGATGACGCCACTACTGGAGAAGGTGTGGAAAGAAGGCAAAGTACCCGAGGATTGGAAGAAAGGATACCTATTCAAACTACCAAAGAAAGGAGACTTAAGCCAATGCAAAAACTGGCGCGGAATTATGCTCCTGTCCATCCCAAGCAAAATACTAAGCCGCATCATCCTGGAGAGAATCAAACAATCCCTGGATGAAAACTTTGACCGGAACAGGCTGGATTCAGGAGAAACAAGTCATGTATTGATCAGATCGCCACATTACGCATCATCATTGAACAAAGTTTGGAATGGCAGTCACCTCTCTATCTCAACTTCATCGACTTTGAAAAGGCCTTTGACAGCGTCGATCGAGAGGTGCTTTGGCAACTACTTCGCTACTACGGGGTGCCACCGACAATTATACATCTCATCCAACAGTTGTATGACAACGCTGCATGCCAAGTAATCCACAACGGGAAGCTCACGGAATCCTTCGAAGTGCAGACAGGAGTAAGACAGGGTTGCCTACTATCGCCAATGATTTTCCTGATTGCAGTAGATTGGATAATGCGACAAACAGCGGGCAATGAGGAATCAGGCATAAAATGGACTCACACAAAGAACTTGGAGGATCTGGACTTCGCCGATGATATATGCCTGATTTCCCACAAATGCGAAGATATGCAAGTGAAAAGTAACAAGTTGGCAGAAGAAGCATCAAAGATAGGACTCCAGGTGAACATAGAGAAAACGGAGGTGATGAAGATCCCTGGCCAACACCAACAACAACAGACAGCAATCAGCATGAATGCAAAGAACCTGAAAGAAACTACCTCCTTTACCTACTTGGGAAGCATCGTTTCAACTACAGGCGGACGGAACTGACGAAGATTTCAAAGCAAGGATCGGGAAAGCAAGGCAGGCTTTCATTACTCTCAAGTCTGTGTGGAGGTCAACACCATTCAGCGTCAAGAATAAAATCGGGATTTTCAACTCCAATGTGAAGTCAGTACTACTATACGGATCAGAGACTTGGCGTGTCACAAAAAGCACCTCAAACAAGCTACAGACCTTCATTAACAGATGTCTTCGCTCAATACTCAAGATCAGATGGCCGGAAAGGATCAGCAACAAAGATCTCTGGGAGCAAACCAACCAGGAACCGATTGTGAAACAAATAGGCAGGAAGAAATGGAGATGGATTGGCCACACTCTGAGGAAACCAGCAAGTGACATTACTAGACAAGCCATTGCTCGAGTGGAACCCGAAAGGGAAGCGACGAGTTGGTCGTCCAAGGGTGACCTGGAGGAGATCATGTGAAGAGGAGATGAAAGCATGTGGGCAGACCTGGAGCCAGGTGAAAACTCTAGCAGAGAACCGAACGCAATGGAGACGCACGGCTGAAGCCCTATGTTCCTCTAGGAACTAAAGGAAATAATAATAATATATATATATGTATAAGGTTGGTACAGCTATCAGTTCACCACCACCACCACCCGTAGCTTGCCGATTTTCTTCATGTCAGAACTGGGAAACACACCTATGGAAAATGATTGATATCATTTTGATATCCAATAATAAAGAGAATTCTTGAGACATTCTAGATTTTATTAACATGTACTACCTTGCAGTTTACTTCAAAAAAACCAGGAAATGATTCAAAAATGGCTTTCTTGCATGTTCAACTCACAAGAGGTTAACAAGATGAGGCACAAAAAATATTGATCTACAGAAAGTCGTCATGTAAAGACCTACTGGCAAACTTCAACAGCTGAATGTCTTCATAAACAAAACGAAACCTGATGCTCTCATTGAGTCACAGAATCCGCAACATTTGAAGCATTGACTGACTACTTTCAACATAGAACTTTGCACAGAATTGCAGCAGTCCATATCGTGCACAAAGGTAGAAAAATGGAGAGAAAGATTTAAAAACAACGACAATGAGGAGAAAAGTAAGGGAGAAAGAATAGTAACATTCCTAAGCCATAGGGTTCAATGGAAATAGCTGATCACGAAGTGAATACATGTACACCATCATCAAGAACGATTTTAGAGCCACATCACTAATTGTCCCCAGCCATTGGCTCTTACCATCCCAATAACAACAACCACTGAGGAAGTCTACACTTCCCAACATGACTGGCTTAAAATAACTGTTACGGATTTCATTGACTGATGAGGTCTTGTTTTCGTTTGACCACCACTACCTCATTTCCAACCTAATCCATCCTATGTCAGCTAACATTGCCCGTTGTAGAGGAAGGCGATGGCTTGTCATGTGTAACACGTGTACTAGTTATCTCAGTCAATGTGGCTTCACAACCTCAACGATTGAATTACCCTCCTTGTCTAACTCTCGACGAATGACCTTAATATTATTCACTTCATTATACCACTGAATACGGGAGATAGAACGCAGACACCTATGATCAAAGATAGCTAACCAGGCTTTACATGTCTTCGACTTTCAATGGCTGTGTCTCGCTCATAGCCATAAAAGAGTACTGAGCAGACGGCTGACCAGTACACAATTCTTTCGGTCGATAGCCGGATATCAAGTTTACGCATGAAGCATCCTGCCTACAGTCCATGTCTCCATGCCCACTTTCCACTTCACATAAAAAAAACTCCGACTGACTGGTTTCCCGAAGAATTTCACCCGTCTTCGAATTGAGAAGTCTCTCCGATCCCAATGGAAAGTAATTTCTCTTTGGTATGAAGTCCCAGTAACAATATGACCTTGCTTCACGGTTTCTGATTGCTTGACCCACGTCGAACTTTCTCACTTTTCCGCGATTTGGACCGCCTAAGGTAGTCAACTAGAGAAGGTTGGTGCCTCGCACCAATATCGATATGGCTGTGCCTCGACAGATTTTACCAATCTGCCTATGCAGATGTCTACCTTTCTTATTCTCATTGAATTCATCAACAACAGGAAACTCAGTTACCTGGAACGCACTTTTCATGTACCAGTGTATGATGAACGCTTCTTGTTCAAATGTTGAATGAACAATACTGTCCAGTCGCCTAGCTTGAATAGGTGAAGCGACACACATACACACATACATCCACTATGTGAAGGTGGACTGATAGAGCCAACACACTACGTCTCAGCTTTTTACTTGCACAGTAATATAGGAGTTTATTTATTACTCTCTAATGTACAAAATGAGATGAAATACTTGAAAATGACTAACCTTCGACTGAATATTTTCACCGGTTGAGCTCAGAATACTACGCTGACGAAATTGTATGGTACAATACACCTCTCCGAAATGTAAACTGTCTCCATTCCTCAGTTCATAACTCCTCCTCGACCTTAACTGTAAATCGTTTCGTTTAGTTCCATTCAATGAATCTAGGTCCGTTATGGTACAGATACCATTTTCGTCCAACTCAAGTGTAGCGTGTTTTCTAGAAATAGTCTAGCACAAAAGAAAAATACGTACGACATTTCATCTGTATATCTTATCACTCGTTAATTGATGTACGACTGACTGACTGTATTTCAACGTAGAACTTTGCACAGTGGTGCACCTGTTCAAGTTGCCACACACCATACTGCACACAAATGCACAGAAAAGGAAAGCAAAATGAATAAGAACTACAATGAGCAGATGTGTACGGCGGAAAGGATAATTACATGGACAAAGATGAAGACTTAATGGACCTGAGAGATTACAACGATTGAATGTATATGAGCTATAAATGATCAAAATGGCGTTTCAATCATGCCTGTTTTCTATTTTTAGCGTTTATTCGGGAGCTATTTGTCTCGGCGATTGTCTCTTTTCATTTGTGTTTTTTAATGTGATCTTTTTTCGAAACCGTAATGGTTGTCTGGTGTCACCTGTCGCCGATGCCAGTCGTTCGCTTTATAAATTTCGATAGAGAAGGAAAGACCAGATTCGCAAATCTGGATTTTCTTAACTTATTCCATTTCTTTCCTTTTTGTTACTCACTGCTTTTCGCGTTTTATTCCGAAGTCTTTTTGTGAGTTTGCGTTTGTTCAGCTCTTGCTGCTCATCATATTCAGAGCCCACTGGAATCAGTCTTCTTGCTTCTATCAGTTCGAATGAACTAGCAGAAATGTACTGGCCTTCACTATATTTTGGTTTTAGTTTACTAAGAGCCTTCAAGATTTATATACAACTGACTGGTTATTGTGTCAGAGATTCTCAAAATGTGTCTTGCGGTCATCTCAGCTAGGCATTTGACTGTTTGTTCTTTAAATAGAGACTTAGTGTACTGATCGAAAAACCACAGACCTTCATCAACAGCTGTCTTCACTCAATGCTAATCAAGATCAGGTGGCCGGCCAGAAAAGATCAGCTACAGGGTGGGATCTCCTGGTGCGAACCAACCCGGCAGGAACTGATTGTGCAACAAATATGCAGGAAGAAATGGAGTTGGATTGGCCATACTCTGAAAAAACCATCAAATGACATCAGACGCCAGGCCACTGCTCGAGTGGAACCCGAATGGGAAGCATCGAGTTGGTCGTCCGAAGGTGACATGAAGGAGGTCATGTGAAGAGCAGATGAAAGCATTTGGGCAGACGTGTAGCCAGGTGAAAACGTTGGAGGAGAAGCGAACGCGATGGAGACGTGAGGCTGAAGCCCTATGTTCCTCTAGGAATTAAAGGAAATAATAATACATACACACTATGTGCTTTTTCCCTTACAAAATCGTACCCTAACAGTTACAGGGCAGTCTATACCTTTCAATATTTACGTGACCCATTGAAGCCGAAGGCCCCAAGGATGAATGGGTATATCTAGCATATCAGTTGAGTTGTCCATTGCTTCATTGTTATTATACCCACGTATTAATCCACTCGGTCATATCAACTGTAGACGAGGTCATATCATTTGGCGACAGCAGCATAACAACATCCATGGCTCGAAGTAACAGAGTTCCGGCTATTGAAGGCTGTTATCCTATTTGGCAAAGGCTTCTAACGATAAATGTTCCGATGTTTCAGGTTTCTTCAAACCGCACTACAAATCTCAAATACTGAAGCTTCATACCGAAGAAGTTGGTTCAGTCACTGAACATAGAGTGAACCTAATTTGTCTTAACACTTGATATGTAATTGTTGTCACTCCTTTTGAGTGTTTTAATGATATTATTTTTCTCCTTCTGCCCCCCCCCAACACCAACACTATTACATTTCTACCCCTTATGACACTAATCTTAAAGTAACTCTTTTAATTTCATTTGAGCTCTACTCAATCCTGTCAATTTCGTTGTGTCACTCAGTTTACTTCTTTCTACCTGATTAAGGCTTTCTGTATGTATATAGAATGATATAACTGAAAAGAGTAACTCTTCACTGTACACCTCTTCTTTTATGTAACTGTTATTATGTAAT